GAAGGGGCGGCCGTTCGTTCTGAACGGCAAGCAGCCCCTGTACAAAAGAAACGAGGGGGTAAGGAAAAAAAAAGAAAGGAGAAGAAGAAGAAGCTGGAAAAAGAAAAACGGCCGCGGATTTAACCGCGGCCTCAGTCCAGATGCAGGTCTAGAAGCATCTGGACTTTGATAAGACAGCAGACTGTTGGATTCAACAGTCTGCTTAAAAAGGCTTTATACAGTCTTTGGTAAGCTGCGTCTAGCCGCGGGTGAAGGCCAGATGCATTACCAAAGGTCTGAACTTAGTTTCCTTAGGGGAACATCAGACTTTCTGGCCCTTGATCGCGATCTAGATCAAGGGTCAGRCTCAGTTYCGAGTTTTGGCTGGGGCAAGGCAGCTGCCCYCAGCCTCCATCTAGCTATAAAACAGCCAGCAGCCAGCCAGGCAACATTCATTTGTGGYTGGTGCTGCTGGCATTCTACTTGGTTGAATGCTGGCTGCTGGTATGAGGGAGCTGCTGGAGAGTGAGGTGGAGCTAAGGTGGACSTCTGCAAGAGAGAAGGGGTAGGACTGCTGGAGGTGGCCATAGYTGTGGAACACAGCCATAGCCACCATCTCAGCAGGGTGGAGAGAGAGAGAAGTGTTGAAGGTTTGCATSGRGCGTGAGAGTGAGGGCAGCCATAGCGGCCGCTGCACCTGGTGGAGCGCAGAAGAGGTGYTGTTCGTTCAGCGAGGCGGCRACAGCGGGTTTATCTACGGTAGTGCGGAAGCGCCGCCGAAATTTTGCGGCGGCGGCTATGCTTTTTCGGTGGTGACGCGGAAGCGCTGCCAAAATTTTGCGGCGGCGGTTATGCTTTTTCGGCGGCGACGCGAAAGCGCTGCCGAAATTTTGCGACGGCAACTGGGTTTTTCAACGGTGACGCGGAAACGCTGCCAAAATTTTGCGGCAGCAGCGGTGTTCCTTTTAGTGGTGGTGTGAAGGTGCTGTCCGGTTTATACGGCGCCAACAACAATTTTGAGAAGTGTCGTCAAGAGGGGGTGTGCTTTGAGATGGTGTTAACGTTGTGCTGTCCACATATTGCGGCGGCGACGCCTCGACACAGTGGTGACATAGTGGTACTGGTCGCAAGTGGTGACAGCGATGAGACACTGAGGGGATTGTGTGTTAGCGGACGATCCTTGAGGGAGTGGTGTGAATCACTTTTCTGATAGTTTACTGCGGCGATCTTCTCATTTGGAGTGTAGTTTATACGGCTTTCTTGAGTGGGCCGTTTGCTATCTTTGGTTCAGCTTCACTCAAGGTCAGTTGAATGACTCAGATTTCCCTTCACACCTGTGTGAACCCACACTTGCTTGACCCTGTTCTTTGAATGTGCACTGAAAAGGTAGAGGAAGCTGTGTTTTGTTTGCACGTGTGAATGGAAGTCTGATATGAGTTTGGGGCTGCATTGTTTTCTTTTGGATTTGTTGTTTGATCTGATGTGCAGGTAGGTAGGAGGATGCCCGAAAAAGAGGGACTTGACCATGTCAATGGGAATTAACAGAGGGGTGGTTGTCTTCTTTTCCCGCTTGCATGCCTGTTGAAAAAAAAGGACAACCAGTAGACGACGAAAAAGAATTTAATTACGCAAACAAGGGAAAATCAATCGGACATAGGCTTTCCCTGAGGTTACTCATTCTTTCCCGAATTACCCTCTTTGTCTATGCCCGTCCATCTGAATTTTTTTTCTTCCCTTTGATCTCCTTCATCGTCCAGGTTTGCCCTTGACGTCAGGCGACAAAGGACTGACCGTCTGCTGTGGTAAGTGCATTTCCTTTTCCAAGGAGGCATCCGAGCCGGGGGTTCCCTGCCTTAGGGGCCGGCCCTGCTATCRACTTGGAGTGGACCACTCATGCGGGGGGATACCATGCTGTCSTGGTGGAGCCAGCCCRACTTCTGAGATCCGAGGTTCGCTCGGACGAGGACRAGGGGTATCCCAGACCACCTCCTAGGGRATGGACGTGTGCTATTSACGGAAGGCAATAAGTTCTTGGCGGCTCACGTTAAGAAGAACCGCTATAATTTACCCTTCTAGTGGYCGTCTTAGGAGCCACGGACGAAAGGGTAACTGRYGTCATAAGAARCCCAGTTCGTRTGTTCACTAGCTATGGACGGAGTGCGACTAGGCACTGCCTTCGTGGACAGGTTTGCGCCATAAGAAGTGCAAGCCTAGGGCARTCAGACTAGTTGACAAAAAGACGTGACTGGAGCAATGCCTTGAATGTCTTTATGTCGMAGGCAGGTAATTCATCACTCGCGGAACAGAAAAGAGTAATTATTGTCCGGGAGGGCAAAGCGACCAACAAAACTTGAAAATGGATCCCTGACCTCAATGAGGCATTCAACGTTYGGTCGTTCAAGTCGAGTGCTGGCTCGTATAGTGGTAGCCGGATTACTTGCAGATGGCATTCACACCAAAGTTAGAGAAGTAGTGAAGTCATCATTAAACAATGGCACTCTAACTCTGCTTGAGAGTCGGGGCGTCCATATTCCTTGCTAATAGTCARTATGGGRTGGAACGRAAGAACTTGGCAAAGCGTCTCATCAAGTCGAAAAAGTCGTGGCAGMCAACSGTCTGACARGTAGTGTGAAGATACTCTAGTCAGACGATTTRAACGCYGCCTAGTGTATCGGTCGTGCTTTGATCTTTTATTGATAAGTATTGCTTGAAGTCAAGTCGACTCTTGTCGGATAAAAGAAGGGACTAGGATYGCTAGAAGTTTTCCTTACGTTTGGAATATCACGTCCTAGTCGACCGACGTCAGTCCGATTCCTGGGAGATCAGCGCCCCAGGGACGGGCGACGTTCGGGTCCACTTTGGCGTTTAACCATGTGTACCTATGCTACAGCGAACGAGCAAACGACTTCGACCGGCCTACCTCTGCAATTGCATTATAAAAGCTTTCACATGTGGGTCGGTAGCTCGGTAGGGATACGCCCCTAAGGGTGGTGACAGCCCCTTAGGGAAGGTAAGTTGTGCCCCGCAAGAACCTGTCCTGTCGTAGGGGACCGCGGGATATACAGCTGGCGCACTCGGCTGGAGCGGCGAAGGGTCGACGCGGGTTACCGTGTCGTCCCCGAGTTGTCTCTAAAAAGTTAAAAGTCTAAGATTCTCCTGCGTGACGCGGCCGGGAGGGCCCTCGCTTGCGTGGGGGCCGATGCGCTCGACAGGTGACACCGTTGCCGGGGATAACGGCAAACTACCGTTGTTCCTGGTGGAACGATACTCGGGAATGGAGCAAGTAAAAGATCATGTCGTAATGGTTGTCTAAGACAAAAGGTTAGTAATCTTTGGACCTCTATGAGTGTAAGGAAGGAACCTTAATGGATGCTACCAAACTCCTAGACTAATTTATTGGGTTTACGTTTTGGTTCCTAGATGGCCGCTGCCACAGGATGTCGCGACAATGACAACGATGGGAGGAATGACATTCAAGAACTGGCGCGGGCTATCCGGTAGTCGAAGCGAGAGCCCTACCCTAAGATTGATGTTCCGTTGTTCGACGGGAATCATGCCTCTTCTTGGGCAGACAAGTTCGAGCAATTGGGATATAGCAACGAATAGACAGATGAGAAGATGCTTCGCATGGTTTTGGGCAGACAAGTTCGAGCAATTGGGATATAGCAACGAATGGACAGATGAGAAGATGCTTCGCATGGTTAGAAGGTACTGTCAGGTGGGGTACCGAGACGAGATCGATAAGCTGGTGTGAATCTCTCATGATTGGTCAGATTTTAAGGCGCGGTTGTTGGAGAAGTATCAGCTCAGCGATCGGTTGCTCGACCTGCAGGATTTGAGGGCGGTGGATCGTAAAACGTTTGGTACTACCAAACAATTTTTATCGGAATTTGAGCTTGTGGCTCGCCTAATCCCGGATTTGTCCAACAAAGATCGCTGCCTTATTTTCCTTGATAACTTCAACGACGTCGAACAGTCGAAATTGGTTGAAGGGATGCAAGGGAGGTATGACTGGACTAAGGTCCGGCAAAATGCGCTGGTGGGGAAGTTTGACAATATCCTCTACCGACTGTTGAGGCAGCAAAAGGAGGAGCGGGAAAAGGTGAAGCTGGGAGAAGTAAAGGACGGTGAAATTTACAAAACTTTGACCTGCATGAGAGAGATGATGGAAGGCATGAAGGAGGAAAGGCTGAAGCTTCAAGTCATGTTGGCCAAAGAGAAAAATAGTAAGAGGAAGGGGAAAGAGCCGGCGAAAGAAGAAAGCGACAGTGAGAGCGAGGAGGAAAAGGAGCCGCCTAGCAAGTTGACAAAGGCGGAGAGGAAGGTCTTGAATCAAATTCGAGGCGGACAGGGGACTTCCCGTAAACAGGGGAAGAACGGTGGACAAAATAATCAAGGAGGGAATGGCAATGTCGGCCCTGGTTCGTCAGGACAAAGTTCCCAAGATCAAGGGCAGTTCCAACCGCAGGGTGGAAGAGGCCGCGGTCGAGGCCGTGGGAACGGACAGCGAAGCCGTTGGGCGTGGCAACAGGAAGCCACATATAACTATTGTGCAGAAAAGGGCCATATTATGCGGTTTTGCCAACTCCTTTCAAAAGATGAGAAGGAAGGGATAGTCTTCACCACTATACGTGGTGAAATCTTTAATTACGAAGGGAATTCGATCGACCCCAACATTGAAGGGGGTATGAGGAAGGAGGCGTATCGCCGAATGGGTCGCCCGCTGCCAGCGACGTTCCGAATTGCCTCTCCTGGAGAAGCGCGGTTGGCCGAGGTCGAGGAGGCCATGACGTCATTACATATTGGCGATTCGCCGGTGGAACCAGAAGGGTTTAGGGAACAAGTGGTGGAACGAGCGCAAACCATCACTAGGCGGCTTGCCCGATGCCGGGACTCTATCATCCGACTTTGCGTGGACATGGAGGAAGTCTGGCCTGGATTGCCGAATGTCTTCCTCTTCGGCGAATGGGGTGATAAGAGGGAAGATGCGTCTGGCCAAGCAGGGACGTCTGCTCCGAGAGAAGCATCGCAAACTGGGCCAATGGTGAGCACGATGCGACCTAGGCCTGTGCTGAAGAGGAGTGCTCCGACCGTAGCCGCGCAGACTCGGATGCGGCGGCGAAACGAGCAACTTCAGAAGGAAAGAGAGTCTGAAAAGGCAGTGGAAAAAGAGCCCATCCCCATTAGTGAGAACGAAGAGGATAACGAGGATGAGAAGTTGCGGGCCGAAGAGGAAAAACGGGCTCGTCGACGTGCGCTGGAAAGGGAGCCGGAGAAAGGGAAGGTTGAAGCAAGCGAGGGAGAGCCACAAAAGAAGAAGAACATTTACTCGATCCCCATGGAGCAGGGGATCGATATCGAGCGGCTCGTCGATAAGATTCTGAAGAGTCAGCACGACTTGGTCACGCTGAAGGAAATCTTGGCGGTGTCGCCAAAGATACGAGAGGAGTTTAAACCGTGGATGACTCGCAAGAGAAAGCTCAGCGAAGTCATTCCGCCAGAGGCTAACTGGTCCCCGCCTAGGACGAAGATGGATTGGCGAGGTGTGTCAACCGGCCATATGAAGGTCCAGATTGGACAGCAGGAGTATTCGGCACTTGTGGATGATGGAGCCGAGATGAATATCATTTGTGAGTGCCATGCCATTGAAGCGGGGTTGAAGATCAACCGAGATGACTATGGGTTTCTGGTGGGCGCTAGCGGATCGACCCCATTCTGCGGGACAGCCAGTGGCGTTCTCGTCACGGTCGGAAAGGTCAAAGTCCGCTCTTATTTCTATGTGTTACCTAGGGTGGAACACGAGGTGCTTCTGGGAAGGGCGTTCCTATGTCGGTCGGAAAGCATCATCATTAACAAGCATGATGGAACCATGTTTGTGATCCTTTGTGATCCTATCTGCGGTTACTACGAGGTGGTCAAGTGTGCAAACACTGGACCCTATTGTTCACGGAACCTGCTGAATCCGGAATCGTATACTTTCCCGGAGTCAGAAAAGTTGAGAAGGGAGAAGGAATCGGTAGGGGAGGAGCCGAATGTTCGTGAGTTTTCACTGACCCTGCCTGATATTGGGCAGGCAATCGATTTCGTGTCGACACATGTGGCGATCGATCCGAATGTGGTGCAAGCATTGACGGAGATTATCGCGGACACCGGAAGCGCAGGAACTATGCGCCTTGTTTACTCCCCGTCGGAAGGGAATAAGGGAGAAGGTCAGGAATTTCCCTCCACTCGACAGGGTCCCTTTTTAGAGGACGCAGGCTTGACACCGGCGCCAAACGTAAGTACAAGAAAGTAGGCGTGAAGGCGAAGCCGGTACCTGTTCTGATCACTCAAGAGGAGGAAGTCTATTATCGTGAGGAGCGTGAGTGGATCAGAGAAATGAAGGAGAGAGGTGAAAGGGGACCATGTCGGTTAACTAAAGAAAGAGTGGAAAGTATGATCATTGGGGAGGAGGACCTCCTTATTGAGCAGGAAAAAGGATATGTCATCGATATATTGAGGGAGGAACATCTCTCTTATGCGTTTGATGATGATGAGCGAGGAAGGCTGGATGTCGATAAAATCCCGATGATCAGAGTTCATACTGTACCACATGAGCCATGGAATGTGAGAGGGCCACGTTATCCGAATCCGGAGGATCACCGTAAAGTGGTCGCATATCTTGATGGAAAGATCCAGACGAAGGTTACTGATTACTCTTACGGGCCGTATGCATCTCCATGGTTCTGTTTTATCAAACCGAATGGTACTCTGCGATGGATTCAGGACCTTCAGAAGTTGAATTCGGTGACAGTGCGAGATGCAGGTGGACTCCCACATGCAGACCTACTGTCAGAGTCTTATGCAGGGAAGTCTATCATCACCCTCATTGATTTATATTCCGAGTATGATCAATTTTCCATTTACACTGCGGATCGGCCCAAGATGGCGATGCACAGTCCTCGTGGATTGATCCATATGTATGTGGCATCGCAGGGGTGGACGAATGCAGTCGCCATTGTTCAGAGATATATGACGAGGGTTATGCAGCCTTATTGTCCTGACATAACTTCACCATATATTGACGACTTGGCTATTCCAGGGCCTCGAACGAACGACCTGGCGGAGGTGTTTTCGGGCATTCGCCGCTTTGTCTGGGAGCACATCAATGATGTGGTGAAAATTCTTAAGAGGTTGAAGGAATTTAATCTCACAGTTAGTGGGATTAAGTCTCGGCATTGTATGAAGAGAGCAGTGATCTTGGGATTCCTTTGCGATGAGAAAGGTCGCCGGCCGGATGCGAAGAAGACTAATAAAATCTTGGAATGACCGACCTCTTTCAATTCGATCACAGATGTGCGAAGTTTCCTTGGAACTTGTGGATTTTGGCGCATCTTCATCCGCAAGTTTGCCGCCAGAGTGAAGCACTTGCGAAAGCTTGTGCGCAAAGGCCAGAAGTGGGAATGGGGTCCAAAGCAGCAAACGGTCGTGGAGGATATAAAGGCTGAATTCCGTGAAGGTGGATTGATCCTTGGAGTTCCTTTCTTCGACGATGAAGGAAAGCGTCTTTTCGTTATTGCGGGGCCCACAGCCCTAGGAGGGGTCTTGGTTCAGAAGGATGCTGAGGGGCAAGAAAGACCTCTCAGATTTGAGAGCAGGACTTTGAATGTTGCTGAGAGGAACTATTCCCAGTTCAAAAAGGAAACTTTGGTCGTGCTTCACTGCCTCCGCATTTTTCGGAATTATGTGTTTGGTAGACGTTTCATCCTGCGGGTGGATCCGACTGCGTTGGCGCAGTCCTTGAGGAATTATTCACTTGCTGATCCCACTATTGCACGATGGCTAACCTATATTTGGATGTTTGATTTTGAAATTGAGCGGATTTCGGGGAGTCAAAATCGCGCCGATGGGTTGAGTCGGGTGGAATGGGATCCAGAGTCGGATCAGGTAGAAGAGTCAGTTCCGGTCGATGCCTTTCTGAAGGAAGAGGAGTTGCGATTTAGCATTAACTCTCTTACCTACCTGACTGACGCAGCCACTCGACATGGGGGATCAATATGGAATGCTCCTACCTTTCATGAAGTACGTCCAGGACTCGTGGTGGATGAACCTTTCATCTAAGAGGATCCATGGGGCGAGCAGACCGCAGAGGAAATGATGAGACTGGCTTTGACCGATGACATCGACCTTGTGCTCGATCCGCTAACAATTGAACAAGGTCGTGCGCAGGCTATGACGTTCTCCAGATCATTGGAAGGGTGTCACATATCATGAACTTGTTGGTTCATGAGGATCGCCTGAGGTTAATGAACGCCGAGGAAGGAAGCAGTGAGGTCAAAGAAGCGTTTAAGGAAAATGAGTATGAAGGGGAGTATAAGAAGATAGGCATGTGGTTGAATGGGGAATTGGATGAAAGTGAGGCTGATCCGGTTGTGCGAGAGAAAAGCAAAGGATTCGTTGTTCGTGACGGTCATCTCTTTAAGAAGGCTGCTGATGGTGTCCCAAAGAGGGTGGTATGCGGGATCTCCCGACAGTTGGATGTGATTGCTGCTCTGCATGATGGGGTAGCCGGCGGACAGATCTGCGCGGGTAACTCTGAACAAGATCCAACGTCGTTATTTCTGGGAAGGGATGAGCAAGATGGTGATTGACTTCTGTAAATCTTATTTTCCTTGCGAACAGAGGTCTAACATCCGCTACCTCGAACCCCTAAATCCACGATATGTGGAAGAGCCAGGCGTGGTGGTGCATTTGGATCTCCTGGTAATGCCGCCTGGGATAAATGGGTACAGGTATATCTTCGATGCTAGGGACAATAGACTGGGTTCGTTGATGGTCGTGCCATTCGCGAACGTACTGGGTCAGTCTTGGCAGAGTGCATTGAGGAATACTACCTTCGTTATCCATTTATTCAAGAGATTGTTATGGACCGAGGAGGCGAGTTTCGAGCAAAGGAGGTGCAAACACTTTTAAAGAGACTTGGGGTGAGTTTCAGTTATACGACGAGAGCGCATCCCCAGGCCAATGCACCCGTGGAACGAGGACATGCCACCTTGTCTAACTTGTTGGCTAAATGGTGCAAGGGGGAGCCATCAAGATGGCCGATTTATTTGAGGGCAGCCTTTTCGTTGACAATGTTACCATCAAGCGAACAACTGGGTATGCTCCCGTTACATTGTGGTTTGGACGACATGCGACTTTTCCGATTGAGAGTTTCCTGACCACTTGGCAGAAACAAGACGTGGAAACAGAACTCTCAACAGAAGAGTTGCTGGAATTGAGGGCAAGACAGATCATGGTAACTGAAGAGTGGATTGAAGACGCGGCTGTCTCTACTTCTGAAAGCAGGCAGGTTGACAAGGAAAGATGGGACAAAAGGCCACGTGTACGAAAAGAGTCGTTGGAAGTGGGAGACATCGTCTTGTTTGTATAATATGTCGCTAGAAAAGCAGTGGTCCAGAAAGCTAGACAGTCGGTGGTTAGGACCATATCGGATCACTAGGAAAACAGAGCATGGGGCATACGAAATAGAGGAGTTGGATGAATCTCGAAGTAGGAATTGGGTATCGGGTGCACATCTAAGGAAATTTATCCCAAGAGTTTAGTGAAAACTTTTAGAAAGGAAGGATAGAGGAGGTAATTGGTGGCATCGAATTTAGTAACTTTCTTGCCTTTGTATTGTGGTTCAGTTGGTTCTGACATTTGTCTTAGGCTAACCAAGAAAATTGTAAACCATTAATAAAAGTATTGAGATTGAGAGGTTATCAATGAGATTGTGACTCCTGTTGTTTTGTAGTAATGGATTTGTGCCTTACTGCCACAGGCAATTGTAAGGTGACTATGATATTTTTCCCATAACTGTTTCTATGTGTAAAAGGTATTGGATATTGCTTGTTAAGTAAAAGAGCGATACCAAAGGACTTTGTGAGATTTTTATCATGATTGGATATTCATTGCAGGAAGAGTGTTGTGAAATGGTTGATGGGTACTTATGTTATTAAAGTATTCATTAGATATATAAAGAATTCAATTTGTAGAACCTGGAATTCTTATGAAACTTCATGTATGTGGTTGTGAATGAGAGATTTTGTGAGTGCAAGTCTAAGGAGGATCATGTGTACTTGAATTATATGCCTGGTTGGATTAAAACATATTATTCGGCGGACATGTGATTTGATTGCTTGTCATGCGTTACGACTTGGTGTTGTTTCGATTGTCATGCAGTGAGGAATCTTAATATTGTGAGCCCCGTAGATGGTATTGAGGCCTGGGCCAGAACTTTGTTCCTGGTCCATAGCAGGATGTTGTCGTCTTTCCTTTCGAGGAGAGTGACTACACTATCGTCGAAAGGGAGAAAGGTGGTAATATGTTTGTTGGAACCTTGCTTGTGAGGGTGGCGATTACCGCTCGCCATGAGGGAAAGATTGATCACCTTTTCATTTGTGGTGAATGGGGTCGCCTCGACTTTATGGTCGGGTCTGATCAGCTTGGGTCATAAGGGAGGGGTAGTTCAACCTTGCAGGTATGGTGCTAACGGATGTATGACACTGGAATCGGACGGAAAGTGGTGAGGCTCGAGTCTAAAGTGGGGTTTGACGTCGAGATGTTATCCTCTTTGGATTACACCACTCCTCGACGCATTCACAAGACATGTAGGAGATAAATCATGCATGATGATTAAGTTGGAGTGGGGATTAGCTGGACTGGATAAGGACTTCTGGAGGCATGATTTCTCCCTGGGATGGTGCCGACACATGTTGTAGTATAGTGTGAGTACCCTTGTGTTTCGTGGGGAGCCCGGGTTAAACTCCTGACAGCGAGAGGCATGCTGAGATGTTAGGAATGCACCCCCATGAACATGAGAGGCCCAGGTTAAATTCATGGCAGTATGTGCTGCATGACGAAGGACCCGCAGGGGGTTAAGCCTGACGAGACCTAGACAGGGGGTTATAGCCTGAAGAGAGTCCCATCAGGAGGATAAGCCTGACCCATCTATGAGAGACAAAAGGAAAGATGAGTGGCCGCCAGTGGGATGATGCTGGGATCATTCTTCTAAAAGGTTTTTGTAACTCCTCAGGCTGGGTAACGCCGACGGTGGATTCCAGATTCCGGGGAAAGACCTGTCAGAGGTTATTTCTGACCCCATTCCAACTCGTGTCTGAATGGAAGTGCTTTCGAATGAAGGTTCGAAAACATTAAAGGCTTGAGAGTAAGTCGTTGCTTATTAAAGGCTTGAAAATAAGCCCTTTGCATTGATCGTAATGAAGTCTACACGGAGTATTTCATAAAGATTGTCTGAAAGATTAGGCAAGGAAAGAAAAATGAACGGCGGGAACGTCGTTCATCACGTATAAGTATGTAAGATTTGGTTTAATTCCAGATATACTGTGATTATATGATATATTTGTTGAGGTCTCATAAGAATTTCCCTTATACTGCATATGGTAAGCGACGGGGACGTCACTTAATGGGGGAGGGGAAGGCTGTCGGGACAGAAACGCCTGTGAGGGTTTCTGCCCGAGTTTTTCGAGGTCAGACACTATCCGACTTTTGTCGTTGAGGAACATGATGAGTGTGACGTCGCCAAAGTTTATTCAGACCAACCTTATAACTGAAAGACCTAAAGCCCGACGTCGTTGACGTAAGACGTCGTTGACGTGTGACGTCTTCGACGTCCGTTCGAGACCGCGGGGGTCGGCGGTACGCATTATCGTCAATAGTTCTCAACGAAGCCGCAGTAGTGTGCGGCCATGGAAAAACTAAAGTTAAGACCTAGTCTAACTAAAATAATGTCACGCAAATGCTAAGCCGCGCGATTCAGGGCCTAAGCAGGCTAAAAAACAGGGGTGCACCGGGTGTAGAGCCGCGGGGCAGGAAGGATAGGGGGTTTGAACAAGAAGGCCAACTGGCCGGTGCCGAGCCCTACCCGGTTACGTGATAACCAAGTCAGGGTAGCGCGGCTAAACGGCAAGGCACGGGCGGTAAGCAGGGCCTGCGACGCCTCGAATAGGCGAAGCCGACAAGGCCCCATGCTGGGGGAGCCAGCCGTGCTACTAAAGGACGATCGGTCAGGCTCCGCTGCGCTTCAAGTAGGAGGGCTGCCCTTACTATAACCGTAGTAGGAGCCAGCCCGGAAGGTAAACATAGCAGATTGTTACCCTGCGGATGTAGGGATCAAGTCCATATGCAACCTTGGGCTGGCTCGTTTTTGGAGCAGCCATGTGAATTGGCGAGGCCGATTTCGGCAGCGCGATCGAAGAGATCGGGCGGCTGGAATCAGCTGCGCAGAAAAAAGGAGCATGGCCCCTGCGCAAGGATGACACATATAAATCGAGAAATGGTCCAATCGGGTCTGTATCTCAACAGTTCGTGGTTGAACCCACGAACGTGACTAGGCTGTTGGCATAAGCCAACGGAAATCAGAAAAAAAAAGAGAAAAAAAAAAAA